CTCATCTTATTTAATAAACGCTCTTGCGGCTCTTGATAACTTTCCACTGAACGAAGCTCGGGCGCTCGACGATAACGATAAAAAGGATATGCTGGATCTCTCCTAGTATTCCTCAATTCGTTCGATTACTTCCGAAAGATCCGGTCTGGATCATGGTGGTAGAGATTCCAGGTCTCCACTGTTCATCTCGCTTAACACCTGATAGCGTACCCGAACTGATATGATCAGGGATATTCATCCGAGCGGATCAACGCCGCTAAGTCCGTCTCGCTTCCCATGCATTTCAGTTGTTGGACAATATGCTTTTAATAATAATTAAATCAGTTGGCAAAGAAATCAACGGTTGTTCATCCATGGCGAGCGGGGTTTGGGCACGTCAGTACCTCTGTCATCATGTCATGATAGCCCTCCGAGAATCGAAACAAAGTTGAGGCCTCGATCTAAATTCTATTATTCAAAGAACACAAGTTCCTTTTATCTATCGAATCACCCATAACAGGGGCGTACTTCATATTATTGGTTTTTTTTGGCCGGCACTCGAGCTTCGTTCATGCCAGTTCAAACTAATTGCGCGTCAGTGGCAATCAATCAGGTTACACCTGTCGGCCCGAATTCGTTCAGCTCTTATCTTACCACCACCATCACCACACTTGTGGTAGGTATTTGCAGTAATCCACCGTTGGTCCGTGGATGTACCGCAAATGGAGCATTCAGGGAGGAAAGACTGAAAACAAATTGCTCATCTTTGAGAACAACCCTAAGTGCTAATCACCATCAGCCCAGTTGCGATGACCTCATATGAGTAGGGCGCATGCTGCGCGCTTCAGCATATGGGCCTGAATATCGTGCATTTGCGTGAGGAGGGGAAAAGGAGCATGCGAGAGGGGTTGCGAAACAATTAACTTCGGCCGACCGTTTCGTTCTGTCTTTTTTTGGGCTGAAGGCAAGGTCGATATCAATAGCAAACCGCAAACATACCTAGTTCTCAATGGTCACGAGTCTATCCACACATACCAGAACTGTTTGACACACGACAATCTAATTACAAGTACTGAATATTATCAGAGAACGCATCGATGCATCTTCCATTGGATTTTCTATCCGCAGGAGTGGTTCCATTTTCTTTGTGTAATCATGGCGTAGAAGGAATGTTTTGGGTAGACAAACCGGCATAATGTCATGTAACGATGCCTGGTGCCTATCAAGAGGTATCAAACCTAGCACATCACTAACAGATACTGGTGGTATACAATAGTCTAAAACGGTCGATCAGTTAGCCTGGAACGGGAGACAACAGCGAGAGTTGTTAGCTGTTGCAATAATGAGAAAATCTCCTGAATAGAGGAAGCTGAGACGCAATAAAATCGCTAACCCTAACCGATGTGTCCACAGTGATGAGTAAAACAAAGGAGAATTAGCCTGGGTGCAGAAAGGACCCAGTTTTGTTCACATAATATGGGGATGCGTAAGGAGTGATTGGAGCAAATATTGACGTAGTAACAGAAAATGGAGCGGTTCAGTTCGGTTCAGCCAAGACTAGAACGGTTTAAATGGTCGTTTTGACAATCCAGTGTTGTTCTATGTGCGTCGCTTCTAATTCTGCAGAACTTGTCAAAGATATTTTATGAGTTTTAATATCTTTAGTCGCGCTGTATAAAGGTGAAGTTACATTTTAGTGCCCGTGATGTTTCTCGAGAAAGGAGTAGCTGTATTATTATTTGAAGTGTTAGTGTGAAACACTCATAGTGTGTATGGATTGCAGCACGCAATCTCCTCCGTGAGCAGCGCCTGACACGGCGGTTGGAAGTTCATTATTGGGTTTTGGAGTATCCGCCGTGGGTCTGGATTGCGACACACAATCCCGATTGAGGCTACAGTTTGCTTTGAAGTAAACCTATGCCATTTCGATCACTGGGACAGCCTCCGAAGTGGGGAGTTTCGGAGCAGCTTTCTCCCAACACTGCACTCCAGGACCGGCTGGTTTCGTCTTTGTTTAGACTCATCAGGTAGAGATAGCCGAGCTAGGAGTGGAACTCAGCGCATAGTGTTTGGCGGCTATCGCCATGATCACTAGGCCATTGAGTTCCGCGAGCAGTGTTTGACACACCGGTTAGAAGTAGATTTTCGGGTTTTTTGAGCACCCACCGTGTGTCTTGGATTGCGACGCGCAATCTCACTAGTGGCGGCGGTTGACGTTGAAGTCAGCCTCTGCCAATACGGTCACTGGGACCGTCACCGAAGTGGAGGGTTTCAGTGTGGCTCTCTCCTATCCCTGCACTCCACGACCGACGGTTTCGTCTTTGTTTAGACTCATCAGGTAGAGAAAGCCGAGCTAGGAGTGGAACTCGGCGCATAGTGCTTGGCGGCTATCGCCATGATCACTAGGCCATTGAGCTCCGCGAGCAGTGTTTGACACAGCGGTTAGTAGTAGATTTTAGGGTTATTTGGAGCACCCGCCGTGTGTCTTGGATTGCGACACGCAATCTCCCTAGTGGCGTCGGTTGATTTTGAGGTCAGCCTCTGCCAATACGGTCACTGGTACCGCATCCGAAGTGGAGAGTTTCTGAGCTGCTTTCTCCCAACACTGCACTACACGACCGACTGGTTTCGTCCTAATCTGGACTCGTCAGGTAGAGATAGCCTGAACTGAGAGTGGAATCCGATACATAGTGGTCATCCTGTGTTGGTCTTCTAACCGAAACACTCTGGTCTGACCAAATCGTTCGGTAGAAAATGAAGCAGATGACCGCTAAAATCGGTCTGTCTTCCAGAACGTGGCTCGCATCAGCACTTGTGACAAGCTTCCTGTTACACGCTACCGAACCGCTTGACAACGGTGCATGTGATGTCGAATTAGCTCGATTCAACTCATTCAAGGAAGAACTTTATGCACCCAGAAGGGTGAATATTCAGCCGTTATATACACGCCTTCAACAATGCAAAAAGTATAATAATTAAAACAGTGAATGCACAAGTAGGTTACTAAGCCGCATGGACTGCAATATGGCTACAATGCAAATCTGCTTGCAAATTCTAGAACCAATGAGATTTGCTTACACACAAAACGCGCCAAATAGGGGAGCACGAAAGTGTAGTAAGCACGTGAACGCACAGAAATGGATTTGTACTTTTGTCGGGTCGATGAAGCTGCTATGCAGTCAAACAATGCACCATGAAGAGGGTGACTTGTAACAGTGGGGATATTTAAAGCAAGTTTCTTGTATGAACTGGTATGTGTAGACACAAGAATGTCAACAAAGACCGGCTTTGGAATGCCAGCACATAGAGACTGTTGCTTCCATGACCTATATGTGACTTTGGAATGCTTGTTTGGTAAACCAGGAAAATCACAGGAGAGCAATAAGTTCAGTGTGGTAACACGCTGGCAGTGATAAATCGCAATTTTAAGTGGCGAGGGACAGAGGAAGATCACACACGAGCAGCGTGGAAAAAAGCTTCGTGACTTTGCGAAACTTTTTCTGTATGGTAGTGAGACTTGGCCCCTTCGGTCTGAAGATCTGAGGCGCCTTCAAGTCTTTGATCATCGTTGTTTGCGAAGCATTGCTGGTGTGGGATGGCACCAGCGTGTCCGCAACGATGATGTGCGTAGGCGAGTACTAGGTGGTGATGATCATGCTAGCTCCCTAGAACAATAGATAGCACTGAATAAGTTGTGTTGGCTCGGGCACGTGCTACGCATGCCTGATCACCGCTTACCCAGGAGGGCCTTGTTCAGTCTTCCAGGTGTAGGATGGCGCAAGGCTCGAGGTGGACAGAAGTTGACTTGGCAGCGGGAAATGAAGTCACTGACGACCAAACTGGGTGCCGTTGGTCCGTCTCGCCTTCCGGGTTGGAGTCTACGTGACTCACCTTGTGCTTGGCTCGAGACTTTACAGGATATGGCTCACAACCGACACCAGTGGCGCGTCTGCTGCTGTCTCCTAATCGGATTGTCTGTTTAAAGTGTGTTTGGTGCTGAGTTATCTGCGGGGTAATGGCTGATTATGACGCATGGCAGTGAAAGCCGTAAGGAAGCTGTCTCGCCGATGCCGCCTTATCTTTGCACGGTAGCCAGCTGTTTGTGACGGTATGTTGTCTACACAAGGTGTAGGCGCCTTGACCCTGAATGTTTGCTTAGGGCATTAAGGTTTTCAGGTAAGTCCCTCTTCTCTCCCTCTTCTTATTCCTTATTTCATAGTTCCTCATGGTTGTATGGCAGCGAAGCATCAGTTTAAAGGGTTAATGTACTGCTGTTGATGATGATGACTTTGCGAAAAATTCCATTCACATGAGATGATCAACAGAAAGTATGGCTGAGTGTGACACCTGGATATTTCACTGACACGGAAGAGTGTAACCTCTCACTATCTGTGTGACGTTCAGAGCATTCAAATAGGTTGCTGATAACGACAGCCTATGTGCATTTTAATGCATATGACGATAAAAATTGAGTTTTAGACCACCATACAGGTTTGTCTAGATAGGCACGTAATTTGAAACATTGTGTATGGTTGCTAAGGGGGCGGGGTGACAAAGGTCGCAAGGAAACTGTCACCAATGCCGCGTTATATCCGAATCGTGCCGGCCAGTTGCCGAGTGGTTCAAGTCACCGGTCAGAGGCCGCGTACACACACGAGCGAAATCGAAGTATCCACAGCCGGCACGCAATCTGCGGTGGCCACGTAGCAACGAAGCATCGGTAAGGTACACTGGCGTGCTGCTAGTGCCTTGCATCTGCACCGTAAGCAGCTGCTCGTGACTGTGCATTGTTGGTAAATGGTAGGCGCCTTGGAACTGAACGTTTACGGCACTCAGATGTACCAAGCCGAGCTCTCACAGATAAAATAGGCTCGCATCAGTTGTGGTCGCATGGAAGCGAAACACACCGCTGGTGGTGATGCAGACGAAGAAAAATGCATTTGCAAAACTCAAACGGAACACATGTGGCATCAAACCGAGAAAATGCGTCGTCATGCGCCCACACACAAAGGACAACTCACCCAATATCGTGTGACTGGAGTAACAGAATGCCGGCATTACATATCATTCGTTTAAGCTCCAGCATCATATTGGGATCGGTTCTGATGAGCTTCGGTTGGGCAAATATCTCGGTGGCGTTCGAAGCAACGAAATTGCAAATGACGAGAATCATCGAAGTCAGAGTAACAATGTTGACCAGTTGAGTGCCCAAATCAAGCAATCGTTGTTGGTCCATAACCATTGTCTGAAGTAATTAGACGGATAAGGGAGGAGGCGGGATGAAGCCATCTAAGCGAACGGGACATGAACACTGAAAACTGTAAATATGTAAGCGAGTGAGGATATAACTTTGTGTGAGTCCGCCGAAATTTGATCGTGTACACGAGCGAAATAGTGATGTTAATTCTCGTGCACTTTCAACGTGTTACTGATATGCAATGTGCTATATATTTCCACACCGAAAGCCTGCAAAATGGGTTTCTAAGAATGTTTGTAATCAGACACCGATTTCCTCTCGACTATTGTCGATGATAAACTTTTTTAACCTAGTACCACTCGATGCTCGAAGCATGGATGGTGAGCCAGTGGCTTCAGATCCACGATCACAAGTTTACATTGGCGTGAACATGCGTTACAGAACGTTCACAGGCGCAGCAACGGCTTAAGCATACGGAGGTCGCGAAGCTGTAAAAGACTGTAGGTCATGATTAGATCGGCTAGCACCCAACGATAGGACAGGGCATGCAGTCCTTTATCATTGGTTTTCATGTGGCAAATTTCATAAACTGAAGATAAACCTGAAGGCGAAACACTAGCTAGACACGTTCAATTGTCTGTGCCTCTATTCGGATGGTGGGACAGTAAGCACCGGCGAGCCGTACTCTAACATTAGTGTTCTGATGAAAAAGAAGGAGAAGGAGAAGCGGTTTAGAACAAGTGCAGAGCCTGTGTTTGAACACCAAAAACCTGGGCAGTTCGTTTTTGTATAGCTGTTCGTGTTGTCCATGAACAACAAGTCGTAAAGTGACAGCAGGTCTAGATCTTGGACGGTCGGAATGCCAAGGTGTACATTTGCCTAGGAGGCACATACAGAGGGAACATTATGTTCGTCGGTGCTGTGATACCAATAAGAACGGGCAGAAAGAATTTAAGGGAAAATAGAGCCACCATCTCAACGCTGAAAGACATGCCTACTGTGTGTGAACGAGATAGTGTATTGTTGGGGCATGCTTGGGTTCACAACTAGGGATGATGAAATGTTAGTATAAGGGATTATAGTCAACAAGGTACGCTGCGCGTGAAACAACGGTAGAAGCAGCGGGGCTAATCAAATGCATTCTGAAGTCCTGTAGGGCGACTTTAAGTGAAAAGCAACCGAAATGATCGGAAGAGAATCCAGCAGGCAAGATAGAAAAGTCAGGGCAAGTGAAGGAAGGAAAAGAACCCGAGGAAGTTAAGTTGGTGTTTTCGAGAAAAAGTACACCAAAAAAGTACACGTTTTTGGAAGCGGATGGAAGTCAGCAAACTTTCGCTTATTTGAAGCCGACTGATATTAACTGCGACTGACCCTACCGCACAAGATAAGATCGGATTGTACTTGGTCCCAAAATGTGCTTTCATATAGCTGAATCACATCTGCTCACAGGCCGCTTTCAGATAAAAACACAGTAGATCCCCCGCTTACAAATCAAAATCTGTGAGAGAATGAGGTGCCGTGTAAGCAACCCAGGCCAATGAGGTGCCAAAGAATTCCAGGATAATGTAGCCGCGAACCAACCAGCAAGACCAGCGTTACCGTCAATGTAGATTGCGCATGCGATACGGTGGAATGCAAATACTATTGTTGTAAACTACTTCAAGATCTCAAGACTGAGATTTGTCAGACACAGACATCTGGGAAGAGTGTTAAAAGCAGTTGAGTCTAGAATGCGGATGTTTGCGGAGAACAATTGTGTAATACCAAAAATACCAACAGGAAACAAAGTGATGGTAACCAAGGTTGAGGTCAGAAAAGCAGCGTGCACACACAACTATGCTTGAAAGTATATGGAACTGATTGAGACGAAAAGTGCATGCAGAGGACTCTAACTAGACACAAAAGTTGCCAGTGGCCCACAGCAAGTAGATACCAACTGGATCCTGTATTCACACATCGACGCTCAAGGCGACTTTGAAGATCGGGATGTCAGTTCAACGGACAAGGGGAGTATCCCAGAAGCCAGCATTCCTTTACTTCGCCGCCTTGCTATTTAAACCATTGTGGCAGGAATCGCGAACATAGCTTCCCTCACGACGGGACAGTGTTGTCTGCTCACAACAAAAAGTCGTACGCTCCTTGGTCCTTGCTTTCCGAATTTTCATTATCCAGAGCAAACTACAAGATGCATGTTTGATTTAATCGGCCACACAAACAGATAGTCTTTCAACCCGAGGACACCATTTTAATTGTCTTTCGACGTCCGTGTATTTGTCGAATAAGATAACACTACCTCTGGGGCTGCGAACGTCTTCCGAGTTCACGTGTGCGGTGTGCCCCCGGAACAGGTATGCAAATCAGTCACATCGGAGTGCACCCACGCATAACAAACGAACATGGGATCCCCTGAAAAGCTTGATGCACTTGGTATCTCGATCGATGCTGAATATTTAGATGGGGTTAGTCAAAACGTCGAAAATGTATTCAGCGAATGCACGAAATACAGCCTTATCGTCTTTGCGTGGGATTTTACATAAGCGGTCATCATTCCACGTTGATATGGTAAGGCGATAAATACGCCGTGGTGATTTCGGAAAAATCAGGGAGTCAAGTGATCGTCTCAGAAAGCGTTTGAGAGCCCTAAATATACCGCACCCCGCGATGGTAGCTGAATTCATTAAATTGGTGCCCGCCACATATATAGCACCAGCCCCATATGTGGGCACAAAGGATCATGTCGGGCCGTTGTGATGCACACCAAGCTGTCATGGAAGTGGATCGGTCAGATTGGTTGTAGTGAAAGATAGCGCACTTCGGTATAAGATTGTCAACGAGGAGCCTCTAATTCGTTCACTAAATCACATTCCACAAAATAATTCTGCAAGTCTGAATTGTGACGACGAGTGTTGTCAGACAGTGGGATCGAAGTTGAAGACCTATTAGGAGCGATCCCAAAAGAGATATCCGAAAGGCGAATGTATTTCAGAAGCACAAATTACCATGAAAAGTGGATGATGTTTCCATCGGGAAATCAGCTTTTAGGAGCTTGAAGTGTTATAAGTCTGGGAGCTGACCAAAAAGTGCAGGTGAATGACGAGATCCAATGAGAAGGAAGTAACCGGGCACTCTTGCAATTTATCTGACATACGAGTAATAGGCCTGTGTGAATGAAACAATGGCCGATAAAGGTGTGCAGCTGATGCACCGTCACAGTGATCCACATTGACGTTGAACCGTGCAATTCGGAGCTCTCGAGAATATTCGTCACAGATAGACTCAGACAGACAGCTACCATAAATGCAGAAAAGCGTTAGGCGGCCGTTTCGTCCTGTTGGGACTCATCAGCAGCGCGTAACCGCCGAATACTTCCAGAATCGAACCAATGACCATACTCTTGCGAGCCGACGACTTATGCCGCTAAGTCATGGGTGACGGCAGCGGACTGCCATGACTGATATCTATCTGGGATATAGCGCGGCTCATCCTCCACTGTCATGCATGTTACGAAGGTTCAGAGAACAGGGCTGGCCCCCAGAGCTAAGACAACCTTGGCGAGCCGCCACCAGTCGTGATTGTGTGTAATCTGCTAGAACGATTACTGATTAGAGTAGTAGGGGGATTTTTTGTTAGTTCCAGGTCTGTCGCACCCAGACTGTCACACAACAAGCACACATGCAGAAAACAGCAGAGCAACATTCTCATCTAACTAGGGCTATTCAGCAACCCGCATCTCCCGGATCTTGATGGATCCGAACACATGGTGTTACTCTTGATAGTGATTTATGACATAAGGTAAGGGGTGACGTCCGAGGACCACCATGACTCATTGCCAGCTATGATACAGCGTCAACAGGCAAGTGACCAGCACGGATCGATGTCTGGTATTGACGACCTCCCCTAACACCGAGGTGGGATGGAGGAAATAAGAGCCACAGAGCAACCGCTTTGATCATCAAAATGAGATGGCACGATTGATGAGTATCCACCAAAGAGTGATTGTCAAATTGAAAACTTTAACGACAGATTTCAAGCGACGAGCTGAAAAAGCCTCCTTACAACGGCTTCGAATCAACCCACACGCATCATATCAAAAGAGCTTTGGGGACTTAAAGAGGATCGATTCATCAAAATCTAAGCCGGCCTCCGTTTAGATAGACGACGTACTCATTCATTCATTATACACTTTAGCAAGAGGTACAGACACAGCCATTCTGCCTCAATACACAAGAGAAAAAGATACTAAAGAGACGCAACACAGGCGTCAGCTGAGTCACCAGTTACGGATAGACATCGTTCCGGAGAGCTAATAGCAGGCTGTTGTGTCGCAAAAAAGCTAGATTATGCTGCAGGAATGAGATCATGGATAGAAGAGGAGACTAAGCGGGAGGGTCAAACAAACTCAAACGCCACCGAGATCAGGTCCTAGCCACGTCATCAAGTGTATCCAGCCAAACGTGTTTATCCGTCCTTCGAGCCCAACCAGGGAGCCGAGAGGCTCCAAGCGAGGCCAACTTCGAACTAAGGGCTTTCATACATATTGAGCATGTCGTCCGTTGGCCTCCCTTCCTCTTCTTCCATCCGCACCCGCGGCGCGCAAACAACGCACGTCGCGAACGTCGATGGGTTGGCATGCGCAACCCGTGGCCAAGTCATCGAAGCCTGGTTCGTGGAATAACGGTGCTGAGCAGTCCACTTCCTCTTCCTGTACGATAAACATAGTGCGCAAAACTCTCATTGCTTACGCGATGTTTCCACGAAACATGAGCCGAACTGCGAAGGCACCGGTGATAGAATGTAACTTGCCTCTTTACGTCGTCCGATCTAATGGACCAGGTTTCACAGCCGTACAGTGGGGTCGAACGTACGGCTGCTGTAAACTCTGCCCTTCAGGGTAAGAGTGATGTCGCGCCGGCGTTATAGGTGGCGAAGGTTAGCAAAAGCGCCACGAGTTTTTGCTATACGGTTTATGACTTCGTCCTCGTTTCCACACGCGCTGAAAAACTGCTTAGGTAGATGAATTTCCCAACGACTTCTAGCTAGTCCTTATC